AAGAAAAATACCTCTCCATCTATCATAGCAACTAAGATTTGTTAATGCTTTGGATTTCTCGTAACAGAACTTAGGCTTAGAATCCTCCCAGGATCCTCGTGGTGGGTAAACTCGGATTTGAACAGATAACATTGTAATTTGAGTTTTGAAATAACATTTTCTGACTTGCAGCTGTAATGGAATTGTATTTGAACTCAATACTTCTTGAATGAATTTTTGGGGACTTGGTTGAATTTTAGCCTTGTATTAAACCCAAATATTGATTATATTGGGAAAGAAACTATCACCCTCTTGTTTGTTGTGTTGCCTTGAGTTGTTAGGAGTTTTGCAGCAAGTTTCAGATTGTTAGCACATGTATTATCCTCATGGAGGTATTTTGGATTACCGTCTGAATTCCTTGATAATATAAGGGTTCTTGCTTTGAAGTTTTAGGGTTGTGCGATATCACATGATAATTTGTAATTGAAAAAAAACGCACCTTCAGTTTTGGGGAGGTTATAAATACCAAAGTTTTATACAAACAACCTTCTTTCTTTAGTGACAGGTCATCAACTCCATGTCCCATATTGATAAAAAAACGGATAGATCTAAAAGCTTAGACTTTAAATTCCTTGTCTCTGTAATATGAATGTTCACAACCGTCTTCTAATAATAAGCCACATAATTTGGTCATGCGCAAAAGGGTAATACGCACTAGTAATTGCTCTGCCTCAGTCAAAATCCCAAAAAAGTAACTTCAACAAGTAATCATTCCTGATCATAGATCACCATTAAGGATTTTCCTAATCTCTCTTTGGAAATAACGACACAGCAAGGGAAACATAGCAGGCCTCAAACGCTTGTGCCCTGAAGTACTTGACTGTAAGGGTCCACACTTGTCATTATCGCGTCTGCACCAACTGGTTAGTCGCATAAATATTAAATATTAAAATAAAGTCAAATATTAATAGAAAATCGCAAAAGAGGTGGAATTTTACGGTAAAAAATTAGGGTGCAACAAATGCGAATGAGATGGTAGATATGGCAACTAGGGATAAAAAGAGTGTTTTATTTTCAAAGTTAACTTTGAAAAGGCGTATGATTGTGTCATTTGGAATTTCCTCCGTTGTTTGATGATAAATATGGGATTTGTGTGTAGATGAATGAGGTGGATGGAGGCGTGCGTTTTTCATTGTCACTTATCTATTTTAGTTAATGGTAGCCCGACAAAGGAGTTCGAGGTGCAAAGAGGTCTAAGACAAAGAGATCCTCTATTTCATTTTCTTTTTGTTATTGTAATGGAAAGGTTAACTAGATTGATGAAAAAGGTGGTAGAGGTTCGTGAGTTCAAGGGTTTTAACGTTGGATAAAGGAATTCGGTGGAAATCATTCAATTTGCAGACGATACTTTGATTATAGGAGAAGGTTGGTGGAAAAATCTTTGGATTATTAAGGCAATTTTAAGGGGTTTTGAACTTGTTTCGGGCTTGAAGGTGAATTTCAACAAAAGTAGACTTATCGGTGTAAACGTGAGTTCTCATTTTCTCTTTGCTACCTTAAATTTTTTAACTTACTAAGGCAGTTTTAAGGGGTTTTGAACTTGTTTCAGGCTTGAAGGTGAATTTCAACAAAAGTAGACTTATCGGTGTAAACGTGAGTTCTCATTTTCTCTTTGCTACCTTAAATTTTTTAGCTTGTAAAATTGAGAATTCTTCGTTCTGTTTCTTGGGAATACCTATAGAGGTTAATCCTAGAAGAATTAAGGCTTGGAACTTGATTATCGATAAGTTTAGATCTAAAGTATCGGCCTGGAGAGGTAGGTTATTATCTTTGGCAGGAAGAATCACTCTTATCAATTCTGTGTTAACATGGTTGCCTTTGTTTTGGTTTTCGTTCTATAAAGCGCTTGTGGTTGTGTTGAATTCTATTGATAAAATTAGGAGTCGTTTCTTGTAGGGAGGATCGCCTGAGAAGTCAAAAATTCACTGGTTGAAGTGGGAAGTGGTGTGAAAATCGAAGGATAACGATGATTTAGGTATTCGGAGTATGAAGGAGTTTAATCAAATCCTTTTATCTAAATGGAAGTGGAGGGTTTTAGAGGGATCAAAGACATTAAAGAAGGAGGTTCTAAGAGCTAGATATGGCTTTATAGAAAATCAAGTTTTGGTGGACAAGGTTTCTAAGAGGGTGTCTACTTCCACTTGGTGGAAAGATCTCTGCAAGATAGGAGTTGTTACTTCTAATTTGGTTTTTCTTTTGTAAGTAATATTAGATGTTAGTTAGGTGACAGTAATACCGTTCCGTTTTGGTCAGCACAGTGGATCAATCCACTATCTTAGCTAATCTGTTTGAGGATCTTTTTCTTTGCAACAGACTCAAAGAAGTGGCAGTGAGTTCCATGGGCGTTTGGAGAGATGAAAGATGAAATTGGGGCGATTTTGGCATTGGATAGACAAGCTAGGAGGCTTTGGCAGCCAGAATTCTAGATCTGAAAAATCTGCTGCAATTGGTTTCTATTTGTTCGAGGCATAAGGACAAAGTTATTTGGAAGGTGAATAGTTTCTTTGATTATAATGTCAAAAAGACTTACCAAGTTTTGATGGAATCTAGAGAGTCGGTCCTACTGTCTTTTGATCAAGGTAAAGCGCTCGAAGTCCTGTGGAAAATTAAAGTTCCTATAAGAGTTTTATCTTTTGGCTGAAGGTTATTATGGAATAGAATTGCCACGCGATACCAACTCTTAAAGAGAAGCATAAACACTGTTAATTTTGTTTGTGTTTTATATCGCTCTTTTGATGAAGATATGCAACATTTATTCTTTGATTGCTTGGTTGCGGAGGATGTGTGGTAAAAATCGGAAATTGGTGCGATATTAATATTATTTATGCAAGAAACTATAGGAATTTCTTTGAGGAGTGGCGTGGGTTAGGAAACAATACAATAGATAATTTTAAATTAAGTTCAATTTGGTTAACGATTGTGTGGTGTTCATGGAGGGTTAGAAATAATGTCATTTTTAACAATGATGAATGTAACGTATATGACATTTGTTGGTCTATAAAGTTCTTCGCTTGAAAATGGTCGTGTGTAGGCGAAATTCCTTATTTTAACTCTGATTATCTGACCTTTTGTATGGATCCAGTAAGATTCATTAGGTAGATTTGTACTGGTAGAGAATTTTTCCTTCTTTTGGTTCTTGTTGTTGTAATGGGCTGAATACCCCTTGTATTCCTATTAACTCAATTGCTTTTAGAAAGAAAGAAAACTTTCACGATTGAGTATGTGAATTTCTAATTGTTATCTGACTCTCAGTTATCTCATATTTTTGTCACAGGTAATAAATGTGAGGATTCATGGTCGAACTTGGCTATGACATGAGTTTAAGGTTTCACCTATAGTCGAAATGATTATTTTCGACCAAAAGAGTGCTTGACCTTTTTTGATGAGCATGTCATGTCGAAGGAGGTTTAGAAGAGTTGGTCGAGAGGTCCACTGATGACCCTGGTCGAGTTAAAGGACTTAGTAAGATTTATGATTTTTTTCCAGTTAACATGATGCAATGTTTTATCAAAGAGAATATGGATAAGATCATACAGTAATTTAAAAACATCTGGAAGTCTATAAAAAACGAGAGATGCATGAAAACGAAGGCTTGTCAACTTTTGCTAAGTTGATCATTGTAGACGATTATAATAGGACTAGTATATAAACAATGTTTGCTTATAGTTTTAAAGGTCCACAGTTTTACACATTACACACTTAAAGTATCCAACCGTGAAAGTGTGAAACGAGTTTTCAATGTATGTACTTGCGTTTCATTTATAAAGTTAATATTTTCCTTTAACTTTTCCTAAAGTTAATTTTTTCCTTTTTATCCATTTACTTTACTGTATTACCTTTTTAATTCGATGTTTTTGACGTTCATTGTCAATCTCAAAACATTCAAAATTTGCACATATCTGTTCTAGAATATTTTTGAGTTTAATCTCTTAAATAAAATCAAATTTGTATTTGTTTATCAAATTTCACGATAAACACTCTCACACAAGAACATCAACACTAGTATTCAAACGTTAATATCAAAATTCAAACTCTGACTTTCACGATTGAATATGTGAATTTCTAACTGTTATATGACTCTCACACTAGAACATAACACCCAAATTCAAATGTTAACATTCAAACTCTGACTTTTATGATTGAGTATGTGAATTTCTAATTGTTATTTAACTCTCACACTAGAACATCAACACCAGAATTCAAATATTAACACCAGAATTCAAACTCTCACTTTAACGATTGAGTATGTGAATTTCTAATTATTATCTGACTCTCGCATTAGAACTCTAACTTTCACAATTGAGTATGTGAATTTCAAATTGTGATTTGACTCTCACACTAGAACATCAACTCACATTAAAACTCTAACTTTCACAATTGAGTATGTGAATTTCGAATTGTTATTTGACTCTCACACTAGAACATCAACACCAGAATTCAAACTTTGACTCTCACGATTGAGTTAGGTGAATTTCTAATGATTATAATCACTAGGCATTAAAAAAACATGTCTATTAATTATTTGGCTAATTATAGAAGAAAACAGGAAAGTTGTTTGCCAAACTTAAAAGTGTCTATTTACATTATCAAGTTTTAGCACTTTCTTTTTAGTATATATCTGAAATATCATTCATCATCGTCATCATGTCGGCTTTCAATTATTGGATTATTTAAGGGTGAAATAGAAAAAATAAAATGCTATAATGATTAATAGGTTTCACCTAAAAACAAATTGCTAATGAAACGAGCCAACTCCAAAGATAAACTCAATTTAAGAAACTTTAGCATGGAAGTTAGCTTTGGTGCAATCTTTTAGATTTAGCATGATACAACAAGATTCATAATCCAATTAACATTACCTATGAGATTCAAATCACCAAAATGGATAACTTTGAACATACATACACATGCACAGAACAAGTAAAGTTCCCTCCACTTAACTCTCCTTTGGGCAAATGGTATCACATTTTCAACCACTTTGGCTTAACAATCTTTTTCTCGGCCGGTTTCCGTTCTTCAACGGCAGGAGCTTGCGCAACAGGCTCAGCTGACACTGGTTCAGACTGTAATGGCTCTGACGGCTCACCTTGATCTATAGCACCCTTCAAAGACATCACTTCTTCTAGTAGGTAAGGGCCGTCATCGCTGCTATTACCTAAATACCCCGTTAACACCAAGTTAATAACATCTAATATATTAACTTCATCAACAACATCATGTGAAAAACATAGCAATAGCAACTATGGCATGAACAGAGAACTCACCTTTTGAAACATCATATGAAAAGTACACAATGGCACCCGGACAAAAGCCGACGGTATAGAAATCCTGAGAGAAGTCTTTGATCACCTTCTTGGGCGGAGTAGTATCTACATTATAAAACAAGAACATGTGATTCATTTAAGTTCACACAATCAAATCAACTTTCCAGACAATGAAATCTTCAAATTCATATAAAAAGATGAGTAGCTGTGAATTAGGCGGTGTTTTGATAAACACATTAGTTAAGCTCTTGTTAAATAATTACTAATCACGAGAGTTTATAGGGATGGAAAACAGGCATGCCTGCTTCATTTAGATCTGCCCCACAAAAGTCTGCAAAAAAACGGGGCGGGGCTGACATAGTTGAGGGTTCGAGCCTAGAGCATAAAACCTTGGCCCATTCCTCAAAAAATGAAACTAGGGCAAGCATGCGAGCTTTGCACCCCTAAAGACTAAAAGTTGTAAAAATTCTTGTTAATGCCCGAAAAAAGACGGGGCGAGGAGGGGCATACATATTAAATAATGCGAACCTAAAACCTTGGTTTGCCCCGCAAAAAAACGCAGGCGAAACAGGCATGCCCGGCAGGTCAGGCCCGTTTTGCCACCCCTAAGTGTATGTCATCAATTCTTAAATTCAATAAATTATTTGTGTTTGGATTTGCACGTTGAAAAGCTATTTGCTTTCTCAAGTTTTGTTTTCACAGTAAGTATAGAACTTGGGTTGATGAGAATCAAAGAGGATAGAGGTCAACTCTACATAAGGTATTTCCTTAAGCTATGTTGGAATTCTTATCAAAATAAGTTAAAAGACAATTTATGAGCACAGCATGAGTTACTTTTATAAGCTCTACCAAACATCACCTTATACGATTGATCACTACCAATTTACAATTATATATACCAACGTACTAGCAAAAACTATCCAATGTTGATTCATTTTTTGAAATGCTTACATAAATAAAAGGGCTTCTCTGGTTGTGCAATCACTTTGTTGAGGAGATCGATTAAACTTTGGATGGTGTCTGATGGATGAAATGTAGCTTCCAATGTATGATTATCAGGGAAGCGAACTCTAATTACAGCCTAAAAACAGATAAAACCAAATGATTAAATACGTTTGCCTCTTATCAATCTAATATTCTTGAAAATCTTGAGATCTTCAAGGGAAAAAAAACATATCCGCACCCTTTTTATATGATTTGTTTCAACGTTTGTGAAAAATCGAATTACCTTTGTTATTCTAGACCTGCGAGCTGCCTCATCTGCTTCTCGAAGTTTTCGAGTCTTTAGATATTTATCTGAGTTGTCAATATTTCGAAATCGGGCATATATGTTAGGATATGCTGATATGAAAAAGCGCATAAATATTGGATCATTTCTTCATCAAACAAAATGATTAGGATCAATTTACCTTCTTTTTTAGTACCCAAGAGTTTGTAATAATCTGCAGCAGTGAACTCGTAGAACTCGTCGGTCTCCTCTTCTTCAAGAATACCAACAAGAAATATAAGCTTAATCAGAATACATTAAGAAGATTAAATATACGAACATCAACACTTGAGATTCTAAATGCACAACTATGACTTTAAGTGTAGCCCTCTGAACAAAGATGTGACATTGTCCAATACTGACACCAACACTGACATGTGTCCGACACATGTGACAACCTGTCAGTGTCCGTTACGCGTGTGTCAGTACTTCATAGGAGGGCATAAAGACCAAAGAAGCAAACTTGCTATTAATTTATTACCTTTGTTTGCTGCATCATTTTGAGTTGGAGAAAGTGAAAATGTTTCAAAAACACGAATCTCTCGTCCAAATCTTTCACTCATCTCTGTAATTGTTGCCTGTTGCCGTAAAACATGATAGTGAGAAGAGAAGGAAAAAAAAAGTAGAAACAGCATATTAGTTAGAGGCCATTGGAAAGCGGAATAGTGCTTTCGCAAGATGACTGAAGATAGCAGTTATATCAGAAACAAGATGCCTTCACAGAAGATCAAAAAGATAACAATTGTTCAATTTTACAATTATCCTTTTGACTTATTTTATCATGAACAGATTTCATGTTCAAAGCATGACAACTACTAAATTTGAGTACAAAATGATTCATCAGCTAAGAGGGGTTAACGAAAAATAACTGGACGTTTAAGAACACGGTTCAAGAAATAAAGTGAATAACCTATGTACCTATGTACCTATGAAGCACGGACACCGGAAACACGACACACCGACACCGGTAATAATTTGAAAAAATGAATAAATTAAATTTAATCACAAGTGTCGGTGTCGGTTTCGGACACAGACATGGACACACCTTTTTTCAGACGTGTCAATGCTACATAGCCGTGTACAAAAATTTCTTGCAGAAGAATTGAAGATGTCAGAAAAAAGAGGGTTGTAATGAATTAATTTATCAAAGAAATTCAGTGGTGACAATGTTTCTAATCCTCTTTTTTCAATGAATAACCTATGGTATACATATTAACCTCATTATTTCAACCACATTGACAAAAATTATAAAAAGGTATAAGCAGATCGAGTTAGAAGAATTATATTCGTGGCATGTTTCCATAAAACATGACATGGGAAAAAAAAGTGTTAAGGAAAAACAGCAGATGGAGTTACAAGCTATGCTGATGATTAACTAAAATAAAACGGCAGATCGAGTTAGAAGCTAAGTTGGTCTCTGTAGCACCAACACCTATGAAAATAGTTTTGTACATATCGGTGTCCGAAACAGACACCGACACTTATAATTACGTTTAATTTATTCAGTTTTTCAAATTATTGCCGGTGTTGACGTGTCAGTGTCATGCTTCCGGTGTCCATGTTAGAAGTTATGTTGATGTTTCACAAACGACCAAAGATAGCAGTTATCTCCTAAAGGACCAAAAAGACAACAATTATCTGACTTCTTTTATGATAGACAGATTTCAAGTGACAAGCATGTCATGTACTAAATATGAGTGCATAATGACTCATCAACTAAGAGGGACAAACGAAAAATAACCAGCAGGCAAGAAACACGGTAAACTCTATCAATGGTATAAATATTTCTTGCAAAAGAATTTCAATATGTAAGAAAAAGAAGGTTGTGGTGACTAATTTATCAGAGAAATTCATTGGTGAAACTTGAAAGTGAATTCTTCATAATCAATGTTTTCTGTTTGTTTGACCCCTTATTTCAACCACATTAACAAAAAAAATTTGAGTTTTTCTGTACCCCTTAACATCATTGATATGGTTTGGTTTTGTTTGACCCTTAACTTTAAGAACAATGACAAAAAGGTTTTAGTTGTTCAATCATTAGAATGTTGTTCTGAGTTTCAAATAAAAAACAGAAGCACCAAAAGGATCAATTGAGTTCAAATCAAACACACACAACAGCATCATCTTTATAACTATGTCGATTCAATTTCAACTTCAGTATAACAATATACATTCCATTGAACTCCATCATAACTCATAACCTAGTAACTAAATTTCCGAAATTAAAATTCAAAAAACTAATTTTCCAAAACCATGAGATTTTAGATTCAGGATCAACCCTAGTAACATGAGATTAACCTAATTTAACTTGAAACCAACTCATTCATCTTTTCAACTACAACTCTTTGCACAAATCAATTACCCTAGCAATGTCAATTCACAAATAACATGATCAAGAACAATTAAAACTTCAACAAAATCACTCCAAACAAAAAGCAAATATAAGCCAAACCCGTATGGTAAATAAAGAAACAAGAAAAACCCAGATGATGTAATACGAAAATTAAACTAAAAATCAATTATTTTTTACAAAATTGAAGAAAGAAAGAAGGGATTTTTAGGTAATTGAGAAGAATACCATGGAATAAACGTGGTTGATTCTTCTTCTTTTGGATGGTTGAGGAAAAGAGGGATCCACTACCATGAGAGAATACAGTAAGAGCAAGTCTTGTTCTTTCCAATCGAATCCTCAGAAACTTTCGTTTCGGGTATAGTTTATTTGGTTTGTTCAAATATTTGGATGAGTTTTTGTTCTTTAATCTATTTATTAATCTTATTTTTATATGATAATTAATTGTTGTTATATTTGATTTTTTAAAATAAATTCAATTTTGATTTGATAATTAATGATTGTTATTTTTAATTTATTAAATATATTTACTAGTAAATCCATTTTGATTTAATAATTTGTTGTATTATTTTCAAAAAGATTTAATTACTATATTTATATATTTACTCGTGTTAATTCTTAAATGCAAATTAAATTAGTATATTTTATAGGTGTTCAAATATAAAATGATTCAAAATGAATTTGTAAATATTTTTAATCTAACTAGTAAATTAATTTTAAGAATAAAAAATTGTAAAACATCAAATCGAATACATAATTATATAAATTGGATTTCTCTGCCCGTACAATTATAAAAATTAAATCTTCAATTTAAGATTACAATTTGGATGTCTTTTATTAAAAAAATCATTCAGCTTAAATTTTAAAATTTTAGTTTTTTTTAAAAAATCGAATCAAGTCACATAACATATAATTTATACTGATTTATTTATGAGAAATGAGAGGATGAATTAGAAATCATTAGATCAAATAAACTTAATTAAATAATTGTTATTGTTATTAAAAAAAATTATCATGCTTCATCTTGGTTGATGCATTTTTTTCTATGTAAATTTACCACCTTGAAACCAATGGCACTAATAATTTATGAAGTATGGATATCATGTGAATACGATCTCGACATTAATACGGTGATATTGATAATAATTTGAAAATAAATAAAGTCAACATAATTACAAATATCAATCCAGAACACAAACACATATTTTTTCAGATGGAGGATTTTATTGTGAATGACAATTGACACATTCCTAAGTTTGTGCTTCTTCAATTCCCTCAGCTCCAACAAATTGTTTCTCAAATCATTATTCCCCTGGAGAAAACAAAAGATCAATTGCTTTGGAAAAACACAGATTCATGTATATTATCCTTCAAAAATTTATATGTTTTTCAATTGCCTGTGAATCAAAAGTTGGCATTGACTAAAATAATTTGGTGCAAGGAGATTCATCCCTCAAAGTTTCTTCTCTCTTGGAGACTAATTCATTACAAGATCCCAACTGATGAAAAACTCAGAGATAGAGGACTGTCATTGCCTTCTATGTGCACCATTTTCTTTTCCCACCAAGAAATAACTCAATATCTCTTCTTTGATTGTTTGTTTGCTCAAAACTTCTAGAAATGATTGGAGGAAACTTTATCTTGTCTAATTCCTCTTAGCGCGGGTTTGGAACACTTGTTATGGTAGGTGGTCACCCTAGCGTAATTTGGTGGTTTTGGCTGTAATAATCAACATTATTGACTCTATTTGGTATGCTAGAAATCAAGGTAGATTTAGCAGCACAAAAGTTCCCTAGCAAACAACGAGATTATTGGCATTCTCCAAAACCTCTCTTTCAGGTAACTTAACAAAAAACGTAGCATCTTCTTCTATTGGGGAATTTCAAATCCTAAAAAGCTTCAAAGTCAACTACCATGCTCCAAAATCTATGTTGATTAAATAAGCGCAATCGCACCCCCTATAGCAAACTGAATAAATGTAACATTGATGGAGCAGCTCAAGGCAACCCCAGTACAACCTCCTATGGAGGCCTGTTCAAAGACAACTTTAGTGTTTGTGTTGACTGCTTTGTAGAAAATGTATGAAGTCACAATGCTTTCTTTGTGGAATTGATGGAGCTATTAATGCTATTGAAAATGCTTACATTAGAATATGGCATAATCTTTGGTCAGAAACAAACTCAAAGTTGATGGAAAAGGATTTCTCTTCGAACATTTCAATTCCTTAGAAAATAAGAAACAAATGGCATAATTGCATAATCAAAGCTAGAGACATGAATTTCATGGTTTCTCATATTTTCAAGGAAGGCAATACTTGTGTAGATAAGCTGGCTAATATTAGCTTAACCCTTACATCTTTCACTTGGTGGGATGACCCCTTTCCCAAACTTGGATTGATTTACTCTATAACTCACTAGGATATACTACTTTCAGAGTTAGTTAGTTTCTTGAGGGTTTTTGACTTAATGTCCCCCCTTCTATGTACCTTCATTTTGTTTCTTTAATTTATTAGGGTGTTGCAGTTTACTGCATCTTAGTTTATCAAAAAAAAATTGAAGCATCTTAAATTCCTTTTTCTCTCTCTTGTACATGACTCATTCTCCTTTTTCTCTCTTGACAGTTACATTTTGATTAAATTTATCTTTCTCTCTTCAGGTTAAAGCTTCCATGTTTGCAATTTTTTTTAATAATAATTATTTGTTCATAATATTTTTTTTTGAATAAACATCTTTGTGATTTAAAACAAAAGAGTGTGGATTTTATAAATAAGAGGAACTGGGGTTTATCAATTTGAAGGTGAAAAGGAAAAATTATAATATTTTTTATCATACCGATGTTGGTGCACAAGGTTAAAAGAAGAAATAGAATGAGAGAATATTTGTTGTATTTTTCAAATGAAGGTTACAAAAAGTTGTAAGGAAAAAGAATAATAAATAACATCTACCATTAGTCTATTTATACACAGAAAACTAGGACCACATAGACAACATACTAGAGTACTAAAATACTCTCTAATAAATTTAGTCTCCAAGTAATAGTAAAATATAAATTATTTCTAACGCAATCCCTTAATTTATATTTACCCAAAACTAACAACAAAAATTTCATCCCTTAAACGAAGAAATTGATCGGTCTTGATAGCCTTCGTCAGAACATCTGCCAACTGCTTCTGGGTGCTACAGTGCACAACTTTTAGCACTCCATTCTGAACGTGATTTCTCAAAAAGTGATACTTAGTCTCAATATACTTGCTTCTCCCATGCAACATTGGGTTTTTGGCAAGATTAATTTTAGACTTGTTATCAATCACCAACTTCAGAGGCTTGTTAACTTTGATCTTCAGATCATGCAGTAAGTTCAGAATCCACACAGCCATATAGCTTGACATGCAGTCACAACGCCTGTGATATATTCAGCTTCACAAGTTGACAGTGCAACAACAAGTTATTTTTTGGAACACAAAGAAATAGGACCTCCTAGAAACTTAAACAAGTACCTAGAAGTAACTCAGAAGTTCTGATTCAATCTTTCTTTTAGAAGAGAATAACACTCCATACTTCAGAGTTCCCTTGATATACCTCAGAATTCTAGCAACAACTTGGTAATGGGACCACTTAGGTTTACTCATGAACCTACTAACCATTCCAATTGCATAGCAAATATCAGGTCTGGTATTACACAAATACCTTAGAGAACCAACTAATTGTTTGAAGGTTGTAACACTCACATCCTCACCGACAAAATCAGAATCCAATTTCTGATTTTTATCTGCAAGTGTGATAGCAGCCTTACAATTATGCAGCTTAAATCTCTTCAGAAGTTCAAGTTCATACTTCAGCTAATGCAAAATGACACCTTTCTCAAAGTATACAAACTCCATCCCTAAAAAATATGTCATTTTCTCGAGATCAGTCATTTCAAACTCATTTATCAGCACCTTCTTGAACTTAGCTATCTATTGTTCAGAATTCCCTGTTAGCAGTATGTCATCAACATACAAACACACCAGAATCATATCGCCTTCAGAAGTATGCTGAACATAAACACTGTACTCCATCTCACATTTTTGAAACCCCTGCTCCTTGAAAAATGAATTAATCTTCAGATTCTAGGCTCTAGGCGCTTGCTTTAATCCATACAAAGCTTTATGTAATCTATATACCATCCCTTCCTGATTCTTTTTAACAAATCCAGGAGGTTGTGACACGTATACCTCTTCTTGTAATGGACCATTCAGAAATGCATATTTCACATCTAAATGCGTCAGAGGCCAATTCCTGTTAGCAGTTATTGCAATCACCAATCTAGTTGTTTCATGTCTCGCTACAGGTGCAAACACTTCAGAACAATCTAGCCCAGGTTTCTGCAGAAATCCTCTTGTTACTAACCTCGTTTTGTGTTTATCAATTGATCCATCTGGCTTTAGCTTCTGCTTGAAAACCCATCTGACGTTGATGGCTTTCTTGTACTTTAGAAGTTCTGTTAGCTTATATGTTTTGTTCCTCTTTATGGCATTAATTTCTTCTTTCATGGCCTTTAGCCATACTTTCTGCTCAAGATCCTCTTCCGTGCTTACGGGTTCAGAGTCTACTAATATGGCACACTGAATAACTTCTCCTTCGATTATACTTCTGTGTCTTGTAGCATGTCAAACTCTACAAATCTTCTCAGAATGTTTTTGATTCTCTGTGGCCTCTGACCTCGTTCAGAATCTCCTTTGGATGCTTAAACTCCATATTTTTCTATCTTCAGAAGCTTCTCCTTCGGAAGCTCTTGCTTCAGAAGTTTGACCTCCTCTAGAACCTTGACCACCTTCAGAGTCTAGAATATTCCAAGAATCTAAATCACCACCAGAATCTGAATCACCATCAGAATCTGGATCAGAATCATCTTCACTTTCTGAGTCTCCTTCAGAGTTAGAATCACCATCAGAGTCTACTCTAACTTTAGAATCTTCTCCAATTTCTGACTCATCTTTAGAAACTTCTAATTTTGAACTTTCTTCAGAAGCTCTCACATCAGAGTTCGACTGAGACTTGTTCTAATCCCAAGTTTCTGATTCCTTCACAACAACATATCTGCTGAATTCAACTTTATTATTTTCTAGACAATAGAGCTTGTACACACCTGTACTATGGTACCTCACTAGTAGCATTACTTTGCTTCTATCATCCAACTTCTGTCTTCTGGCTTCTGGAACATGTTTGTAACATACAGAACCAAATAACTTCAGATGACTAACACTTTTCTTATCTCCAGTTCACTTCTAAATAGGAATTGTTTCCTTCAGCTTC